ACGAATACACAATATAAATTACACATATATATATATATATATATATATTAATGTTTATGATAGTCTACTACCCCCATGATCTCCAGTAACCAGCCAGCTGTCGTTGTGTGACCACATCATCGCCCTCACCGCTTGATCGTGTGCCTGTAGGGAGAGACACGGTATCAATAGATACGCACAGTAGAACTACACAATGGATGTTGACAGATTGTATTCCCGATTATCATTCAACATACAACCAGACAAGTGATTTATGTCGATCCCACTTTCACTTCGCATGGGACGGAATAACAACCCCATCGAATAGTAGAATCCGGTCAGTGAGTTCATCACATTTAAATAGCTATCCTGATTGATCCCAATTCATTCTTGCCTGATTGATCCTTGTTTAATGCTGATTAATCCTTATTTATTGCTAGCAATTAACCCCTATTTAATGCCGATTAATCCCTATTTAATCCTCATTGATTCCTAGCATATTTCGATATCTCCCTATTTAATCCTGATAGATTCCGATTCAATGCTGATTAATCCCTAATTAATGCTGATTAATCCGTATTTAATACTAAAAAAATCCTATTTGGTTCGGATCAATTCCCATTTGATCGCGATAAATCCCTATTTCATTTTGATCAATCCCTACTTAATCCCGATTCAGCCTTATTTGATCCTGATCAATCCCTATTAAATGCTGTCTAATCCTTATTTAATTATGAATATCACTATTTGATCCTGATCAATTCTTATTCAATCCTTTAAATTGTGGCACTTCAGCTCAGATCTCGTGCGATTTGAGTATTAGAAGCTTTATAATATGAGGTGGAAGCACACATAGTACCATTTATACGCTTGCTTTCCAGCGTGATTTCGTATTCGTGAATGTTTATATGTGTGTGTATATGTGCACAGATATATATTTATATATATATATAAATATATATATATATATATGAGTATATGTAAAGCGTAAATATATATATATATATATATATGAATATATGTTTATATGTATATAGGTTTTTTCGATGACAAAGTTAAGATTAGCTTGAGTAGCGTATTATCTCACCTGTAGAATGGTTTCGAAATTAAACGTCAGGCCATTCCAGAGTGTGAATTCGCCGCTTGACGATCCAGTGATTAAACGACGGCCCTCGGGAGTCCACTGTCGACACAAGGACCAAGAGAACATGCGTGAGGAAATAAAACAACGCAGAATAAACACATGACATATTAAGGTAACATTTGGGCGGTATGCACCACGTGCCTGCATTGTATCCTCAAAAAAACAGACAGTTGTATATATGTAGGTAAGCTTTACGTGTACGTCATAGTCAAAGTACGGTACTACAGGGGTGGGAGGGTAGCCTTGGTTATCTTCCTAAACCCTAAAAGCTTCATAGAATAATGTGTGTGCTGTATGAGTTAGTATAGATTTGAAGGGGACACAGAGCAAAGGAGAGGGAATGGCCTGACGGTGCTGGTACACCGATGAGCATGTGATTATATATTTAGAGAGATAGATGAATCCCCAGTCTATATAACACCTATATATATATTAATATATATATATATATATATATATATATATAATATATATCATATATATATATAATATTATATATATAATAATATTTATGTNTTTATTAT